TGTGAACATGGTAATCATCTGCTGAGTGATGGGTCGCCAGAAATCAATTTAAAAATTGCAGAAGCTCGGTGTGCTGAGAGGCGCAGGCAGCCACATCAGACGAGAAGCATGGCTGGACATTTAGATAAGCAGATATAAATAGCGCACTTGCGGTCGAGATTAAAATTACAAAGAATAACACGTCTCGTGTTAAAGGAAGTGATAAGCTTGCAGATCATATGAGATAAGTGTTATATGCTGGGGGATAAAGCCAAGAAATTGGAATAAACACACAAGGAAGAAAAAATCATGGGAAATCGAAGAGGAAGAAAGGAAAGAAAGAAAGAAAGAAAGAAAGGAAGAAAGAAAAGAGAGGTGTGGCTACGCAGAACCTTACGAAACCTCTGATTCAGCCACTGAAGGCAGAAACAAGCCTCTAGAAACAGAGAGTTTCTTCAAGCCACACAAAGCACATTCTGTCACCAGTTTCTACAGGACATACCTGCCATCCTCAGGTCGGCATATACTTGAATATGCGTTTAAAATTTCATGTTACAAGCGAATATACGACTGGTATACGAGATGCAATTTTGTTTAATGAGTTCATTTGTCTGTCAAATGCTGCCTCATTGCTTGGCACTATTTTGTGCCAGTTATACTAATTTTATTCAGTTAATTTATGTCAGTATAAATTCAATTCTTAATAAACACTTGACAGCGCAGTGGATCCACGAGAAAAAATTACACATATTCTCCTACAATATAAAACTGTGCGTCATAATGGCCCGCTCAAACACTGGGATCGTGGGTTCGAATCCCACTCGGAACATGGATGTCTGTACTCGTTTCTCCTGTGTAGGTAGCGGCCTTGCGACGAGCTGATCCCCGGTTCAAGGAGTCCTACCGACTGTCTGCAAGATCCACAGTTCCAGAGTAATGATGAGGGGGTACAAACCAGACAGCCTAATCCGAAAGGTGGAAGGGCCTCCGGAAAGTTGTCCCTTTTGTAAAACGTGAAAGCGTATACATGCTGAGTGACATGAAATTTATATAGACCTCTGGATAAAACACAATTTGCTACAACTCAGTACAAAAGGAATTATATTTGAAAGGGCTTTACTCTACTACTGCACCTTCAGGGGCTCTTGCCCTTTTTCAGTTACCCCACCTTGGCCCTCTCCTCACAAAGTCCATATAGGGCTCTTTTAATCAGGTAATATATTGTGGCATATTTCCTCAAAGCAAGAACTGTGGGACCAGAGAAGTCGCCATTGCTAGGTAACGACTGTGTAACCCGCAACAACTGAGTAATTGTTGGAGGTGGTGTTTTCTGTTTCGTCAGTGCCGAGGCTAAATAACGAGGATCAGCTGCCATTACGAGTGAGTCTTGAGACGGCAGTTAGAAGAGCAGGTGGATGATGTGAGATGGCCGCCAGCCTGCGAGGACGTGAGTCCGGAAGTAGAGGAATGTCCACTGTTGAAAGCCGTTACCAAGCAGCGCAGTGAAGACAGTGACTAAGAACACAAGTCTTTGTGTGATAGTGATTTGTAAGGTGTAGTCGCGACTTGTGTGTCCAATGAATCCGACTACCAATCCAAACCCCTTCTATAGTGACATTTAACACGTGACATCATTCGATTTCGTGAAAGGCTGGAATTTTTGATCGTCTAAGCTACCGTAAGCTTCTGACAGGGGACTTTGCTGTCTGGAGTGAGTTATCCATCTGTACTTAAATCAAGTATCTTGAGGTTTGAACTGCGGGCAGAGGTCGCAAGATAGAAGTCACTTTCAAAGTCACGCTGTGGCACACAATGGGCTTATCTCACACGCTGCTCGTGTTCTCGCATTCCGCGCATGTCACAGAGCTCGTAAAAAAGTCAGCAGCGAGATAAAACTGTACAGGGAAACGTGGATTACTTCACAAAAGGATTAACAGTATCAGCGAGCTTACACTGAACACGAAAAAAATTGATACCTTATGATTTCACAGTATTCGAATTCTTTATCTTCCGTCAAATGCAGAGGTAAACAGAAAATGAAAGAACCAAAAACAAAGCCTAATTTTTATTGAACAGTTTTATTTTGTGAGATCTGTGGTTCTCACGGATGGGATGTGACACCGTGTAGTCTGATATGGAGACAACAGAGTCCTCCGAAACGTCGGTACCTTCACACCGGGCTGTATCACACCGCCCTGGAAAACAATATTTTCGTTTTCATTTTTAACTCAGAAACTTTGGTTTTAGAGCTTCGACGTGGAAGTCACGAATATCAGTCACTAAAGTGGAGTCACGGCCGAATTAGGATATTCAAGTGCCCACAAATACTACGTGAAGTAAAATTTATCGTTCTGTGAAATCTCTAAATATTTCATGCACAATTGAAATATTAAAAAAAATTCAAAGCCTTGAAAATATAATATTTAAATATATGTATCAGTTGTTTGCAAGGATTACATAAAATGAACACAAAATAGAGAGATATTACCCGACACTTGGCGTGTTAAAACTTTCACAACATTAGTCGCAAAATTTCGATGAAATATATTGGTAAGAGCCAACAAGGAGCTGTCTGCAATCAAAATGTGACGCCATGCAGTCTGGTAGATGTCTGCCGAGGGGGAATATATTGGCTCCATCTTCAGGGACGAAGACTGAGGCAAGTGAGTAATTAGCAAGGAAGCTCGATAGTTCCTCCTTGCTGCTTGGTTTAATCTTTGACCCTGAAGATAGAGACAGTACATTCCTCCGAAACGTCGGCAAACTTCTACCAGACCACACAGCGTCACACCCCCGGAGATAGTACACTCTGCATACTCACTACCGCGAGAAACTCAAATCCACCTCAGAACTTTGCACGAATATTGACTTTTCTCCGAAATGAGGGTATAAAGAAGCCTGAAAATTAATCCAAACGCAAATATCATTAATATTTACAACTTTGTTCGAAATAGTTTCTTCGATATGCTGTGTGTTTAGCGAACTGTTGTTATGGAGCCCAGTAGAAACAAAGGAAATGGGCAGCGAACCCAGTGCGGGCGGCACCCTGAACTACCCTTACGGACTTCTCCAACTTCAGCACCAGTAACAATCCGATATGTCTGCAGCACTCGGGGTTTGCTTTACGACACTGTCTGTAGCTGGGAGCCGGGATAGCTACAGGCTGGACGGCCTGGGTTCCATTCCCGGCAGAGGCAAGATTTTTCTCTTCTCCACAGCGTCCAGACCGGCTCTGGGACCCACACAGCCTCCTATATAATGGGTACCGGGGGCTCTTTCCCCGGAGGCAAAGCGGCCGGGGCGTGAAACTAACCATTCCCCTCCATCCGCTGCTGAGATCAAGAATGGTGGAGCTATACCTCCATGCGGTGCACAGGGACAACTTTGCTGCCAGTAGCTGAACTATATAGCGTCAATGGTTGGATAACTGGTGAAGCGGAAAGGATCTGAAAGGAAGCGGTCGTGGTACATTCAAGGCACTATCCCGAAAGTTCCTTGGAGAGATTGAAGAAAACCACGAAAGCCCTGAATCAGGATAGCCGGTGTCCCAGCCGAGATTCACACGTAACGCCTCTCCAATACGGGGCAAAGCGTTGCCGCTATGTTAACCCGCGCTTAACCTCTGCTACATATACATCGTTCTAATTGCTTCTTCGTGTGATGGACCTCACGAAAATATGAAAGAATATCATAAGAAATCAGTAGATTTCTGGGAATAAATATTTGTTCATAGGGTTTTCGGGCAGGAGGGAGGTGCAACCCTAAACGCCGCCCCAAGTAACAATAAATTCCGCTGTCACCCCACTTATTTTAAGGGACGTAAATTTTCTCAAGACATTGCAATTAATGACATGAACTTCACAGACACTTCGACCAAAACATTTGAGATAAAGGAAAAAAAGGAGGGTTTTTAAAATGTGCAGCCCCTAAAACCTTGTTTCCTCAAACTGCCGCTTGGTTCAGCTGTCCTCTCGCGCCAGTGCTGGTTTCAGGAGTACGGGTACTGAACACACTTGCGACCTGTAAGGCCTCCAATCGTGTCATGGGGGAAACAACCTTCAGCATCAGACAAAGCGATGTCGAAATGTCAATATAGTGATAACTATCGATTGAAATGGTCACTGAGTAATGGGATATTGCTCTGCAAATTGATACAGGACCTGCAATGGAGGGATACTACCGACTGGCCTAGTTAGTTCTGGAAAATTATTTATGCCCTGAGGCAAAGTAATTACACCCATTAACCTTTTTTTCCCCTTGGCACTACAGCCCCATTGGGCCTAGGCCTACCTCCATGAACTCCATTTACTTTTCGGTTTTTCTAGATCTTACACATTCGGTAGGACTCCTTGGGCGGGCGATCAGCTCGTACCTCGATCTACCTGTACACAAACACAGAAAAACGCACACACACAAATTAAACATCCATGCACTGAGTGGGATCCCAACCCACGATCCCGGTTTCCAAGGGAGCGAAGACAGTACATGCCTTAGCCCGCTCGGCTACCGTGACCGACCCATTAACCTTTACGGCCCTATAATCATCTCGGGAGTAAATTCTATTTAAAGAGTTCTATTGCCATGCATCGTAACTTGTACAGCCAGAAGGGGCGCGTCAGCGCCAAGCGTCTCTTCCGATTTTCCCTCAAACTGGTCTCTAAGGAACAGGGGCATTTTGACATTACTTCTAGTAAAGTCTTCGTATGAAAACAACGGGAAATAATTAATGAACTCCGAAAAGTAGAGCTCTTCTTGAGAAGCTGATAGTCACTCAAATTGTCAAGGAACTCCGTGTCGTTAAGAAGCCCGAACATTATTTACCTGTAGCAAAGATCCCATCAGAAATCTTCCCTTCAAGTTCAGCGGAACAAACCAGTGGCTGTATGACATTTCTCAGTACATACTTAACTTAACAAGAAACGTAATTAATTCATATTTTGAACGAATGCGGCTTATGGTACCAGAAAGTGACGAAGTTACTGTAAGAAGCAAGAACTTAGGATAAATATTTCGGTACCTACGGAATTTCTCTTGCAAGACGTCCTGCTAAACGTGTCCATACTTCCGTCACTGCCACACAGAAACTGCTGAGCAGAAATGCATGTATTCTCCCAGTCGATGACTTGAGTTTTGCACACGGCACAAACTCTGAAATGCAATCTTGACGTGTATCTGCAGCCCGCCCATCCGACTGCACTCAGTGCGCTAGCTGCTCATGATGACAAGGACAACAATACCAAAACACGAACAACCCTTCTAGGTGGGGAGGCCGCCATATTCATCCCCCTGCGGTCTGAATTCTAACTCAACTAAATCCACACTCCCTCAGCTGCCCAAGAAATTCTCCGCCTTTTATGGAAACAGAAAGTTCCTTACCGTACTCACAAAAGTCCAACACCCGTCCCTATCCTGTGCCAGATGAATTCACTCCTCACTTCTTCAAGATCCCGTGTCACCACGGCATGTCGCGTCCTCAGGCTGCTGATGCAGGACACGGCCTTCAGGTAAGCAAGGCAGGTGCCGCGGACAGCCGACAAGGGGTGGTCATTACGAAATATACTTGGACGGCTTCTATGGACAAACAACCCAAGCTAAGGGAAATGGACATGAGATTTGGTACGTGGGATGTAAGAAGTCTATATAGGGCAGGTGCACTTATAACAGTCATAATATTAAAATGGTGGAAGGTCGCGGGTTCAAGTCCCGATGAGGTCATTGGATTTTTTCAATTGACCTAATCCTTCCGGCCGCACTATGGCCCTGGTGTTCACTCAGCCTCTAACAGAAGTGAGTACCAGGAATTAAATAAATAATTTTCCTAGGAAGTAAAGCGCGGCCGGCGCGTAAGGCTGACAACCTTACCGCCATCTTTGAGCCGATTGTCTAGATAATGTGGGAGCCTCAACGTCTCACAACCCTATGGGCCTTCACGGTCTGTTACAGGGATAACTTGACTTTACATTTTTTTTAATATTAAAATGGATCTTAGAGAGATAGGACTTGGTCGTATAGGCTGGATTGATCTGGCTCAGGATAGGGGCCAGTGGAGGGCTCTTGTGAACACGGTAATGAACCTTTGGGTTCCATAAAACGCTGGGAAGTTGAGTACCTGCACAGCTGGCGGCTCCTCAAGAAGGGCTCAGCTCTGTTGAGTTAGTTAAGGAAGATCGGTTAAATAAAAGGTCGTGCTGCCTCCGGGGTTGGAACCGTCTAGCCCGCGGCCCGTCGCTATAGCGACGATAGCGACTGAGCTATCCCGGCTCTGTAACCTCACAGTTGGCCGGTCCAATGACTAGGGACCGAATTGTAATGCCCCAATAATCCCTTAAATATGTCTGCATTTACGCATGAAAAACTTCCAAAATATGCATATGTAAAGTCCACACGAAATTTTAAATTGATTTTAAATCGTCTTAAGTTAATTTTATATAATCACTGAATGATTCACTTGCAATGAACAGCTGTACTTAGATACAAATCATGCAACAAAGCCAACGTGTTTTCCTTGTGTGAGGCAAGTTACGAGTAGAGGGATCGGGGAAGTCCCGGTCTGGGCTGTTTGTATGACGAAACGTTGTGAGTCAGACATGCAGCATATCCTTATACGGGAAAGAAACATATGAAGTTAAATATATATGATGATGAATATTTTAAAAAGAAAATATGCAGCATAAATACAGATCTCTGAGAATGTTATGCTTATTCATAAAATAGGAAAAATATGCATTTATAAGCACCATCAAACAATGTCTAAAATTTAAGAAAAGAAGTAATTCATACATATATCCTAATGAGCGTACGTTTTGTTGTCAAGAAAGAAATATGCATTTGCATTAAAATCCGGCCCCTGTTAATAAGACGCCTAATTAGGAGTATCTACACTGCAGAGCGCTGTCACGGTCACGATTCTGCGCATGTCACGCGCCGTGACTTCCCGGCAAGCGCCTGTCCCACGGCGTCTCAATTTCCTTAACATCGTCGGAAGCGTTGAACTCTTGAATGCCGTTAACAATTCAATTAGAAACCAGCAGCGTTGAGTCTGGGTCCGCTGTCACTAGAGTCGCACACGACATGGTGTCATAACCCCTTTTACTGGGCGATGAGTAATTCAGACAGGCTTATCACTCATACAGGGCACGGTGTTATTCTATTGAAAAAAACATGCAACTTGAAATAATTACATCAGGAATAGTTTTAACGCCTTGTGTTCTCACATCAAAACATTTTTCAAACTATTACTCTGGGCCCCACTCTCACCAAAACAGAAAATGAATGTATATTTTTTAAATGTCATAATTATTTACATCTAAACCTCTTTTTCTCTTCTCCACAGCGCCAATGTGTACCGTGGCTCTTACCCCGGGGATAAAGCGGCCGGGGCGTGAAGCTGACCACTAACTTGCATGTACTGACGATGTCAAGAAAGCTGGAGCTACATCTCCACTCCCTTATATGTCTTCATGGTATGATGCTTAATTAATTAAGCACAGGGATAACTTTACATTTAAACCCCCCCCCCCAATTTAAGGATGTCCGGATAGCTCAGTCGTTATAACGAAGGGCTGGACGGCCGAGGAATTTCGAATTCGAATCCCGGCTGAGGAAGAAATTTTTCTCTTCTCCACAGCACTCAGAGCGGCTCCTATCTAGTCGGAACAGGGGGTAAAGCGACCGGAGCTTTTAGGGGGGGTTTGAAAATACTTGGGGGAATTTCATATGGTCAGCGAACCCTATGCTTGACTGTATGCTGAGACATGACCCTCATTAGCGATTTAGAATCAACTGTAATATGTAGCAGCAGTCGTAAATATGTCGCTCATAACAATGGCAGCAGAATACGGGTGCCAGAATCAAAACGGAAAAGCAATGTTTTTAGACCCGTCTGTAATTTAGTGGGGGAGTGCTTCATAGTTAGAAACTTAAGACGGTCAGTGCTAGAAGGTCGCAAAGCTACAATATTGGTTGCGAAAGCGACATATGCAGGCTTAAGGCATGGCAGACATACGAGTTGGGCGCAAAAGAAAATAAATTTGCCATCAGCAGCGGAATTTTCCTTTTATTCTCGCGGTCATGCATTCCAGAACCCGATATTAAAAAAAAAATCTAAATAAGTGAACTGGATGTGTGTCTGTCGCATTTTGCAATTTAAGTGTGACGACAGGCTCACAGTTGTGTGACGAGTCAGGAAGGCTTTATGCGCAACGCGTGGGCGGATATAGGGAATATGTATTAGCGCAGAGGCTCTGGGGAAGGTGAACCAACATACACAGCTTCCACGAGCAAGTAAAGTTGTGTCTGTGCTTAACTAATTAAGCACTACGCCATGAAAATGTGTGAGGGAGTGAATGTATAGATCACTTTCATTGTTGTAGTCAACTGCCGCATTATTAAGAATTTGCTGCCTAGCAACAAGAACGTGTTTACCGAGCCGTTGCCCAGATACGGCCCATCTCGCGGTCGTTGCATAGCAACGGGTCTATACGCCACAATAGCTACAGCTTGGGGGCACAGCCCAGCGTGAGTGAGCGCTGCGATCCCCTGCTTTCCGCCTGTTGCTCTGTCTATATTCCGTTCCGGTTCAGTTGGCAACGCGCGCACTTCCACGCCACATCTGCGTTCTGATCCGATGCGTAAGCCAAGGACAACGTGGCCCCTGCGGCTTCCCTCGTCCAACCGGAAGTAAAGCTCTCGAAGTAAAATGCCTTAGCACAAGTATACTGCCGAAACCCATTATGCGCAACACTCATCGCTTCACATTAATAAAATCCTCTTAGCTCAGTCAGTATACGAACGGGCTACGAGCTAGAAGGCCGGGGTTCGATTCCAGGAAGGGCAATAAATGATTCTCTTCTCCATTACTCGTAGACCGGTTCTGGAGCCCACGCAGCCTCATTACCAATTGCTACCGAGGTCTATTTCCTCGGGGGTAAAGCTGACCACTCATCTCCATCCAATGCCGAGGTCAAGAATAGAGAAGCTATACTTCCAGTCCCCCATACGTCTTCAGGGCGTAGTGCGTAACTGATTAAGCACAGGGACAACTTTACTTTTCAGGATTACTGGTGTTTGGACTTTGTCCATCGTCCGGTATTCTAAACAAGACGTTTCGGAAATCGGATCTGTTTCCGTCCTCAGGTGAGGGAGAGGGTCCCTTAGAAAGTGCTAACACCAAGCCTTAAGCGCCGGCCGCCCTTTACCCCCCAGGAAGATCCCTGGTATTCATTTCTGTTAGGGGCTGAGTCGACCCCAGGGCCATAGTGCGGCTGGAAGGATTAGGTTAAGAACACTGTGCAAAAACTGTAGGCAAGATAACCGGCCTCCAGTTGAAACCAGAACCCACGTGACCCCGACAGGTACATACACTACAGTCTGGCGCAGGGCATGTCTGCGATAGCGCCACCCGCCTGCTGCTGGGAGGTGCCCGTGAAGACACAGCGGGCCAGATCCTTCGCCTGTGTCTCACCGACCTGAGCGGGGAAGTCCCACTCGAACAGGTCAGCTTTTTTCCGGCAATATCCCGTCCGTACAATAACGGCTTAAGTCACAGAACACCGTTCTTGTCTTCTCCCTCTTCCTGCCTCTGCTCTTGTGCTTCATGGCGACGTCAGCAACAGATCTTAACGAAATTTCTTCATTGCGCATCCTCACGAAGCTATTCGTCGCAGTTTATTCTTCCCCTTGGACAGTTCTATCTTCTGGGAATATAACGCAGTGTGGCCTGTTGCAAATCAAGGCATGTTTCTGAGGAGCATGTCTCCTCCATCTTCACAGCGGAAAATAAGTCGAACAAAACAGCGTGAAGCAGGCTCTTCTTATCAACTGCTTTGATGCTGGTTACTTGTTTGGAGGTTGTACTGTTGAATGATTATGTTAGAAGCGATTGTTCTGCACGTGGTAGCGTAGTTGGTTGCGGCACTATGTTACAAGCCGGTAGGTCGCGGGTTCGGTTCACGATGAGGCCACTGGATTTTTCAATTGATCTAGTCCTTCCACTCGCGCTATGGCCCTCGGGTCGACTCAGCCTCTAACAAAAATG